GTAATAAAAAAGTCTAGATTATATGAGGAGGGCTAAAGTATTCATTTTTACTATTCATCAGTATTTTTCTATTCCGGAATGACTACATACCTGAAAAATGAAAAACGGCAGCCAGCAGAGGCAGAAACAACCCATAATAATGCCAAGCGTTTTTATTGCCTTGGTGTCGGAATTATTGCGCATCCGCTTTGAGACGTTAGAAGAGTGCTTTCTTCCTGGGCTGCCTGCAAATCCTCGGCTCAGAAGACTGGTTTGTCTCTGCGGACTCACCATTCGCAAGCACTGAGGAGACTGAGATGATGTTAAATTAGTAAAGGGGAGCATAGTGTTTCCTCTGAATGTGTCAACACCAGTAACGATATCATCACAGACTTCCTCTGAGGTCGAACACAAAGCAGCATTTTTAGGTGATGGATGGCCTTCACTCCATTCTTTTTCTACCCCGTAGTTACGCTCACCGGTTAACTCTTCATCCATATCATTAATGGGTCCTGTCTGCTCAGCCAACAGCATTACTAGGGAGGGGCCTTTCTCGGCTCTGAATGTTGTTGAGCTACCGTAAACTGGTTTATTGCCTGCAATTCCTCCGTTCGATAGGAGACGTCTGGCATTTTCTGAGTCTATGCTATGACTTTGGAAGGCAACAGCGGGCTCCAAATTGGCCAATTCATTAGGCAACCGAGAACCAGCCTTGATCGAAGCTCGTGAAGGTAAAATCTGATGCCTGGACTCTGGTCCGTTTGTTGGAGGCATCACTACTTCAGATATCGCTTCTGATTCGATGCCAGTAGCTCCTGAAGACCCCCTACGCACCTTTTGTCTGGCATCCGCCTTCGACATCTCTCTGGCAAGCTTGAAGATACGACCATAGAGCACGAGCATCACAAAAAGTGGCAAATAAAATGCTCCAAATGTTGCATAGATTTGATACCAAATGTCTTCACTATAACTACAAACACAAGCCCCAATGGGTGTTTTCCACCCGAAATTGGGAGGGATACATATCAAAGCAGAAGCAATCCAGGCAATAGCAATCATCACAGCCATTCTGCAAGGTGTTCGTTTTGTAGCGTACTGTAGGGGCCTAGCGATGACAAGATAACGATCTATAGAAATGGCACATAAATTTAAGATTGATGAAGTACAAAGAAGAACGTCAAAAGAGATGTACATGTCACAAACTCCTTCGTTGAAAGGCCACTCTTTGCAAAGCACTGTAATTATACCGAAGGGAAGCACAAGGAGCGCGACAAAGAAGTCACTGAATGCCAAGCTGACGATGAGTAGATTGCTCGGCGTCTGCAGCTTTTTGACAAGAAATACAGCCAGAATTACAAGAAAGTTACCTCCCGCAGTTACCATCACAATAAGGAGAAGAATGATGCAGACGATGATTGTCACTGGTAATGAATAATTCGGCTCGCTGGAGCAAGTTTCGTTGCTAAACATAGTTTGTATTGTAGGATTTACTGTTGCTAATGGAATCAGGCTGACAATGGTGCTCCTGGAATCTACCATCTCATCGGTTTTCCATTCAATCGTTTCCTTTTGACCTTGAACTTCCTTTATGTGGACCAATATGATAAATAGGAAAGGCGATGCTGCCAGAATTGTGATAAGTGCTTCTCTATTAATCTTCTTCATTATAAATCAGCCTGTTGATAGTACAAGCATATGGTTAAATTAAATTATGCTATATGCATGTTTTCTACATACAATTTAGTTGAGCATTTTAATAGTTTACTCTAGAGGCACTCGATAATTAGTTGTATGAGTGAAACAACTACCTCTTATTTGATAAGGTGTAATAGTAACAGAAGCGGATGCTATAAAAATGCAGTAAGTTTATGTTTTCTAATGCATTGACCTTATAAACTTGTCATATCCTCTTCTTTACACATATTCTGCTTGAGAGACTATATGAATACAAGTTTACCTCTGTTTTATAAGTGATGGTAAAATTTGCCCTTTTCTATGACGTTAAGTGGAGTTGCCACCACAGCATTATAGGTGAAACTTGCTCAATGGTAGTGCTTCTGCAAAGTAGCAACATAGTGGATCTCACTCCAAATCGAGCCGATGCTCAACTATGAAAATATGGATTGTTGCCCTACAGAAAATAGTGGGTTAGTCTTGAAATTATGTAAAACAATTGAGATAAAGAAAGGAGAATGCAAATAAAGTTGCTCTGCCGAAGTGACACTTAAAAGAACTTCTTTTCAAAAATACGATAGAGTTGAGTGAAGGTGTG